AAACAGAAAAATGCTTCAACCAGGCTGCTTCTTGGAAGCAAGGATTCTGAAGCTTCATCTGATATACTTCAGGCACGTTGCAAGGAGGGACCAGTCCTTGGAGAGGGACATCATGCTTGGAAGGGTGGAGGGACAGAACAAGACAGGAAGACCCTGGATGAGATGGATTGACTCAGTGACTGGGGTAATGGGGCTAGGTGTGTCAGAGATGATGAGGTGGGCTCAGGATAGAGCAGGGTTCAGAGCTGTTGTACATAGGGTCACTGTGAGTTGGAGTCAACTCGATGGCATATAACAACAACAAGAAGAGAAAAAGGTTAGCAAGTTTTCATGCAATACACACTTGGTTTTTTAAAATAACAATTATGATAAACAGCAGAAGGAATTAAGGAATGCTGTACTGTGCTGCTTACAAAATACTAACTTTTTTAAAATCCTTTTTAAAATTAATTTTAATGCAAGTTTACAAAGACTTAGGGTTTCCAGTCATTCATTGTTGCACTTTCCCCCGCCCACCCCCTCGCTCCCAATTCACTCTTTTCCTTGAAAAGTAAAGAAAACCTCTTCCATTGTTATGCAGTCCCTCCCCCCAAGTCCACTCCGCTGTGCAGCTTTCATTCTGGACTCCTGTCATGACAATAATACCCAATCATATATCCCTTTTAAACAGTTCTATCCCTCATCTGTTTCAATGCAGTATATATCATTCCTCTCCTCCTTCTCTGCCCCAGCTCAACCCTGATGTAAGTCCCGTTTTACAACAGCGGCCCTATGCAATATTTGTCCTTTTGTGACTGAGATATTTCACTCAGCATAATGTCCTCCAGGGTCATCCATTTTGCATAATGTTTCATGAGTTCCTTTTTTTCAATGCTGCATAGTATTCCATCTTTTGGAGTTGTACATAAGGAAATATCTCAAACACTTTCAAAATAGTAGTCGATATATAAGAGGCATACCTTAGGTGGGCTTAAGAATACAGTTTAGAGGGGAGCTCTGGTGGCCTAGTGGTAAGGAGCTGCAACTACAATCCCAGAGGCGCATAGTTCAAATCCACCAGATGCTCTGCCTGGGAAGGAGGGACAATCTCCTCCTGTACCAGTCAGATCTGATTTGACGGTACATGCACACAAAAATAAAAAAATAAAAAAGAATACAGTTTAGAAAAGAAAGAAAGAAAAAAGATCACACAGAAACTGCCACGGGCTGCTCCATTCTGGAGGGGCTTGTAAGCCTGAGGTCTAGGGTCTCGAAGAGGGAACATGAAGGTGAGTAGAAGTTCGGTGAAGGGACGAGGAAAGAACACAAGACAAACAGTCAAGTGATCTTGATGATTTTAATTCTAAGTCATTCTAATTCTCCTTCTTCTTTCTTCCTTCTCTCTTTTTCTTGCTTATTACATTTAGCATGATACATTTATATCCCAATTTTACAATTAGGGACTTAATCAACAGTCAAAAAGACAACAAAAGTAAGAATAAAGTTTACATTATTTTCTTGCACACAGCTATTTTTTATGGTCACGGTTCCTTGGTAACTGGAGAGCATGAAAAGCTATTCTTTATGGTCACAGTTCTTTGGTAATTGGAGAACTTGGTAGACAATGGCTTTTCACGTAAACATTTTATTTTTTTTTTTTTTACTTTATTAAAATACTGGGTTTATTTCACATGTATAT